CCCTAACACTCACCTCTACGCATGTGCATGCACGATTGTGTGTGTCGGTTTGGTTGCCGTCCGTGCAGCTGCATTGTCTACCAGGAGAAGTCCAAAACCACCGGGCCCGACAAAGCCGCAAAGGTACTCATTCGACCGCCCCAACCTCCCCTCCCTATGCTCATCACTTCATCATTCTTCTCCGTGTGTGTGTGGTTCAGCTGTACTTGCGCGACACGACGGGTGTGTCCCTCAAATCGATTTTGGCCTTTGGAGGAGAGCTCGAGGTACACACTGCATCCGCAATGGACAGAATGACACACACGTGTGTGTGTGTTGTGTGTGTGTATGTGTATGTGTGCAGGCCAGCGAGGACCGCCGGCAGATCATCGTGGATGGGTGGTTCAGAGTCGACGCATCGCCACAGGACATCACCGTCTTCAGGTCAGATCATTCAAAAACGACACACACAGACAGCCGATGCATTTCCGTATCTGTGCGTGTGTGTGTGCGTGTGTGTGTGCGTGTGTGTGTGTGTGCAGGCGTCTCCGGTCGCTGCTTGACGGCGTGTTGCGTCGCAAGATCGACGCGCCGCAGGCCGATCTGGACGAGTTGGGTCTGCGTGTGGTCGACTGGATTGTGCGGCTGCTGGTGCTCGACACACAGCAGGCTTAGAGAGGCTGGGGAGGGGGCGACCGGACAGATGGATTAATGAGAGATTGGTACATACAGGTTTTGTTGTTCGATTCTGGCTGCAACTAACTTTCAGTGCGCAACTAACTTACAGTGAGCACACGTACCAGGTCCAAACGCACATGCACCACCCAATGCTTCATGAACAGCTGAAGCCGACACGTTCATATCGATTGACATCTCAACACCCAACACCTTGAATCCCTATCAGCGAAGAGCCCTTCCTTGCTTGTTCCCTGGAGTGGACGCTCACAGCCCTCTCCCTCTCCCTCAGCCAGTCAGCGACCTCCTCTGCCGGCCGTCGCTCCGCCGGACTGGCTGCTACTAGCGATGGTCGGTGGTCTTGTCCGAATGATTCCACTCATGAATTGGCCCACCCAGTTCCGCAATCCTCTGGTCTCCCGCTCTGTCACACGCTGGGCTGCCCACTCTTGGTAGCTGAGCCTCGGACCTCCAAATACTTCAGCGAAGCGTCGAATGGGGCTTCCGCAACTGGACTGCTGGGGGCTGTTTGTGCAATCCAGCCGAAATATCGTTGAGGGGTCGTCGGCAAGGGGGTCGTCCACGTAGTCCAATCCAAAGAGCCCCTCCATCGCCAGCTCGACCTCGAGGACTCTGCTGGTTGTGATGGCCTGCAGCTGGCTGGCCACTTGTGTGGCGGTGGGGCGCAAGGCGGGGTCGAGGTGGAGCATGCTGGTCAGCAGAAGCCGAAGGGGAGCGGGAATGAATGAAGGCAGAGGCAGCAGGGGATGGCGATTCTCTGCATTCACAGAGAGACACCACACCAACGGGAAGTATGAGAATGGGTGAGCCCTCTTGGCGCGACGTTTCTTACTGGTCCGCTGTTGACATCGGAAGAGGTCTTGCAGAATGCGGCCACACGCATCGACATCGGCAGCCCTGCCCACAAATTCTCCTCTGCCCTCCCTCTGGGCAAAGTCAAGCCCCCCCAGCAGCAGCCTCTTGCCGTCCTTCGACAGCTTGATGGCATCTGCCGTCAAATAGCCATGAGCTATACCCTGAAAAAACACACAAAAGGCAGAAACAAGCGTAATGTCTTTACTTCTCTCTCTCTTCCTCTCTGTCCACCACCCATGGCTTACGCTCTTGTGCATGTGGGCCACGGCGTCGATGAGTTGTGTCGCGATGCTCATGGCGAGTGGAAGCCCGACAGCTCGGCCGTTGTGGCGGCCGATGAAGTCCTCCAGGGACTCCGAGTCCGCCATGTACTCCATGACGAGAACAGGCTGGCCGAGCTCCTGGTAAGCCCCTACCAGGCCGGCAATGTTGGGGTGCTCCCCCATCTCCAGAAGCAGCGACAGCATCTAAAGCAGGCAACACAACACAAAGGACAGAGAGAACTGATTGGGAGACGGCTCTATTTTGATGCCTCACTATGCACAGACGGCTACCTGTGTCGCACTGTTCCGGCCGCCCACGTTGCTGCCGTCGACCTGCTGGTAGACCGTCATCTCGACGGTCTCCCTGCACACAGACATTCAACACGCATCCAACAGACACATACGGGGCCCACATGGATGCGGTCTCTGTGTGCATCGGATCTTCCTCACCGCAGGTTGCCGGGCCTGCTCATGAGCCCCACCATCTTGGACGTCCATCCCTGGTCGTCGTCGATGGCGGGCTGGGCAGGCAGCGGCATCACCTGCTGGGGCTCGCAGGGCGGCAGGAGGGCTCGGTGGGTGGCCAGAAACTGGCCGAAGCCTGGACACACAGACACATGGACGAGGATACGAGCGTGATCCATCTCCATTCCTTCCCTATTTGGCTTACCCCTCGATGTGGGGCTGCCCTCTTGTGGATTGTGGGGGAGGGGGATGGAGGGGAGGGGGCTGGGGAGGGGGGGAAGCACGGGGGGGCAGGGAGGCGCGAGGTCCTGCTCGAGGACGGCGGGAGCTGTCGACATCGTGGTTTTGGGGAGACGGGGGGCCGCCTTGGCCCCACAACGGTCGCAGATCTCCCAGTCACGAATCTGCCAGCTCGCGTGCTCTTCCCGCATTCTCTGTGTGTCTTTCCAATAAGACTTGGTCAGCCGATTCTAAGATGGTCGTACGGATGAGTCACTGTCGGGTTATCCACTGTCGGGGTGTTTGACCTGTATCAGGCCCACATTGACAGCCAACAAATACGTCTCCAACGGACACAGGAAGAGATAACGCACACACACGGCCTCCTGACGTCCCTCTCACAACATGATGCATCGACGTGGAAGAGGCGACACCATGATATATTATTATTAAAATGTAGGCCGCGATAAGAGGCTTGCCAGAACGACAACACGTTTGTCTCTCTCTCTGTCTATCGGACTCATGTGTGCACCCGCAAGCGACCACACTCCCCTCCGGTGGAAACGCGGGCGGCACCATAAAGACACACAAACTATGTCGGATATAAAATGTAGGCAGTGATACGCGACACGCTCGGTGGGGACTACGCTTGCAGCTGCAGCCGCCTCCCGATCTTGCTGATCGTGCTAGGACGCATTCGCCTTGTTCCTCTGGCGGCCTTGTTCCGGGGTCACGGACGGGGGAGCGGGGATGAAGGACCGAGGGACAAAGCGGGCGGCAGCGGGGCTCAACTCATCTTCACACACAGGCTCACCCGAATCGCTCAATCTGACGAGAAAAAGGGACAAAAACAATGAAGGTGTGTGTGTTCGACTTTCTTTCTGCCATCCCATCTGTGTGTGTGCTGCTCACCTACATGCACGCACAGGGGCTGGCTGGCTGGCTGGCTCTAACTCTCTTGGTGACCTTTGAGAGGAGGGGGCAGCACTTGGGGTGTGGCGAAGAAGGCCTGCCGTCCAGCCAAATTAGAGGAGAGGGCATGTTGGGAGAGGGAAGAAACGCAAGGGAGTGGGTTTGTAGTGAGAGTGAGGCGCCCCGAAGGATGGCACACCGATAAAAGGGACTCCCGAAGGAATGGCCTGCCAAAGCCAGACAGCCGCCTCGAGCACACCTACACCTACACACACACACACGCAGAGAGAGAGAGAGAGAGAGAGAGAGATGGTCCGATGCCCCCCCAACGCCCAACCACCCGCCCATCCGGCTACCTACCGAGTGCGCCGAGCATGGCTTGGGGCGACTGGCAGGTGGACAGATGAGGGACCCTGTTGATCCACGCGGGGCAGCCGGAGGTGAACATGGGCAGGGGCGACTGACTCCTGCGAGGGGGCGGTGATGCGCGTGAGTAGCTCGGCGCCCTCTTCCATGATGCAGGTGTCCGCCGCCAAGTTGGTGTCGCACACTAAATCGTGCAGTCCGTATCATACCTGGCACTCATAGACGCACGTGAGATTGGCGTGTGTGTGTTGTGCGTGTACTCCGTCATTCACTCACGTGTTCCTCTGTGAGGACGACCGTATGGCGGGCGCCACCTGGGCGATGGTCACCTTGCCCTCCTCCTTCAGCTTGCTCAACGTCTCCTGAACAATGGACGTACATGCACACACATGGTCAGACAGGCGTCACGTGGCGCCCCTTTCTCCCTCCCTCCCTCCCTCCCTCCCTCCCTCCCCCCTCACCCTGATCGGCATGTAAGGTGACGGCCTGCTGCTCGGCCACTGAGAGGCGTCTCAGCGCGACCTGGCTATCGCTTGTTATGCACGTGGTGAAAATCTTATTGAAGAGCGAACCCGCGCGCTGCTGGTCTTCGCCCTCTTTGCGAGCCGAGTGACGCAGTCTGGTGGACCTGGCGTCTACGACTCGCGTGTCTCGCCCGCGGCTGCTGCAGCCTCCTGGACCAGCTCCTCACGCTTCTTCGTCTCGGCCTGCACGCGCCATGGAAAGACAGACAGTCAGGGGCATAGGAATGGGGGAGATTTGTGGCATTGTGGTCTGGTGGCTCTGTGCCGCCGCCGGCCTCCCAAAGGTCACGGGCACGGCTCTGCTACCTGAAAGTATCGCAACACCCCCACATCTGACGTGGGTAGCCTGTGTGTATCGTGGGCTTACTCGTTGGCGACAGCCTCAGGCGACTTGTTGATCTTATGTAGCAGCTCGCCTGACATACTCACACACACACCGACAGAGTGACCCATGTTGGTTGTTGGTTGCCTTCGCCCTCTCGTCACCTGACGAGTTGGGGCATGGTGCTGTCTTCACCAGTGGGAACAAGTAGACGTGTCGGGTGCGCCCCTCCACCAGCCGGTGTGCCAATCTCAGCTGCAGGGGAAGAGACACCATGATATAAAATGCAGGCAGCGATCACTGAGAGCTCTCGGTTGTCTTCGTTTTTCCGGAATGGCCTCTGCACGGCAGGTACAGTACAAGGTACAGTACACGCTAGTGTGTCGTGTACCGCTCGTATGTGCGTGCATCGACCCAGCCACCCTCCCACCTCAGCCGGGTTGACGGCCTGCGGGCCTGCGTGTGTGTGGGGCGCCTGAGGTGAGGGTGTGGGGGCGGCGTCTGGCTGCGGCTCCGGCTGCGGCGGGGCCGCCACCTGCGCCTTGAGGCCGTCAGCCTGGGCCAGCGTGGCGGCGTAGGAGCTCTGAGTAGAAACACACACACACACACACACACACCCCTAGGTGACTGTATGTTGCACCCAATAGCAGCTATTGAGCAGCTCAACATTCACATACATACCAGCATCGCCCGCTCCTTGACGGCGGCGGCCTCGGCCTTCAGGGCCTCGATCTGCGCCTTAACTTCAGCCTCCCGCCTCTGAGGAAGAGTACAATAACACATCAAAAGAGAAGGAAGCATCGTCCGTGCATGGTGGCATCGCATACCTCCGTGCACTGCCGCGTCCTCGAAGGCAACCCACTCGGCGTCTGAAAGGGCGTCCAGCCGCCGCTCCAGCTCCTGTCATAGAAACGCACCACAGGTACCGCATTTTATCGTGTCTGTCGAAGCGAACGCACCCCTCTTTCTCGTGAGTGCGAGCGTAACGCTTACCCCGGGGAAATTTGGTGGCGAGCAGAGCCGCATTGGCCACGCAGGTCCGCCAATCCCCCGGGTCGAGGATGACTTCTGCAAGGTCGTCAGGGGCCCGGGCGAGCTCCTCGGGCGTCGAACGCGCGGCGGGCGGCAATTCAGTAGCTGCGATGACGCAGCGAGGGCCTCAAAGAGGCCCGGCGTGCTGTTCTGCAAACATCCCACAACACACACGACATACACGGAGATAAGAATTTGGAATGACACACAGGGAAGAGCATTTATTTAGTTGCCGCCTTGAGTACCATCTCACGCAGCCGCGTCCGCCAGATGGCGTACTCCTCCTCGGTGAAGGCGTCGATGCGACGCCGAAGCCCCTGTCACATCACACATTCACATCAAATGCAGGACACCTTTGATGTGTATGTCTTTCCCACGCCCGTGTGCGAGCCCACCTCCGTCTGGGAAGAAGTAAGACAGCTTCGCCACGTCCCTCAGGAGCGTAGTCAGGGTGACCTCGGAAACGTCATTGCAGCAGCAGCAACAGCAACAACAATCCACTCGAAGAACAAAGATCCATCTTCCTCGAGCGAAGGGCCCCCAGCAGGCCTCTGCAAAGCCGCATAAGACAAAACGAATAGCGCAGGTGTCTGATCACTTGTATACCATCTCACTCAGTGAATGCGCCAATGATGCAACACTTCAGGTGCTGGGAGACATACACGCCAAGCAAAGCAATGAACGCCTTGTCACTCTCAGTGTGAGCCCACTTACGCCTGGGAAGAACCAGCCGTCTTGTCTCATTCGGCCCCCTTACGCCTCTCGATGACCAACGACTGAGACTGTCGACACAAGAACAACAGGGGAGACATCATGCACGCCAAAGTGCCCTGTCGTTCCCTTTTGTACCTCTCCAGGCGGTTTGACGTGAGAGGGAGAAGAGACATAGAGATATAAAATGTAGGCAGTGATACTCAGGGCCGCTGCCCTTCTTCTAAGCGCCCACAAGGCCACCCCGGTTGGGTTGACGGCCACCACTGCTCGAGCACCTCCCGCCACCACTTCTTGAGCCGCATAATGGCATCCTGTGACTCGCTCCTGGCCTCCCACACGCCCCTCCATGTGTACTCCCAGTACATATATTTCCCGCGCACACCATTCCACCCCCACCCCTCCATCCAGTCGGCCTCCATGGCCTCGGCGCTGTCGGGCGCCGGGCCAATGACCTCGACGGCCATGCCGGGCTGGAAGGGGAGGTACAGCAGTGGCGGGGCTGGTGGGGATGGGAGGGGGTTGCCAGGTGGCGTGTATGGGGGCTCAGCCAGCCCAGAGGTGGCAGCCGGAGCGGCGGGGGTGGAGGAGGCCGGAGGAGGTGCGGTAGGGCTGGTGGCCGCCCTGTGGAGCTCTGCCTTGCAGGCAGCCGCCACCTCGTCTGACTCCTTCAGAAAGGCTTTCTTGGCCTTCAAACCCGCGAGCTCGGCCATCAGGCCCGACTGCGCGCTCTGAAAGGGACAGCATACAGGCCACGTGTGTCAAAAGGTCTCGGTGTGTGCATCGCCGAAGGCGTACCACTCCCTCCATGAGGGCCTCTATCTCGGCCTTGAGGGCCTCTATCTGCGCCTTGAGGGGCGGCTGTCGCCTCTGAGGAACAAATCATACCATCAGGAGAGAGGCAATCGGTGTGCTCCACTGCACCAGACAGAGAGAGAATGCATTGGCTTTTGCATTGGCTTGCATACCTCTCTGCTTCTCGAGGCCCTGCGCCAGCTGGCCGCGGAGCTCCTCGTCAGTCATGGCAGCCACGCGCTTCTTGAGCTCCTCCTGCCACATAAACGGACACGTCACGGAAGCCATGTATTGTCAATCCAACGGAACTCCCTCTCAAGTGTGAGGCTGCTTACGCCTGGGAACTTGAGGGCCAGCAGCTTGGCGCTCCTCTTGGCCGCGTTGAAGTCCCGGGTGTGGAGGTCAATGTCCTTGGCGTCTGCCGGTGCCCTGGCGACGGCAGATGGCGGCACGTACAGCGCCATGGGCGGGCGCTCACACAAAGGGGATGATACGGGGGTGCTCTCCGCTCACAGGCAGCAACAGGCGCCAGCAACAATCGGCCCACTCGAAGAGGAGGTCGTCGAGGTCGCACTTGGTGAAGGACTTGAGCATGGCAATGCCCTCACTGAAGGTGCTCATTGCCTCGCCGTCCACTATCATGCCCTGCTAACGATTCACAAGCCAGCCGCGATCCTTACACGCCTCCAGGTACTCCCCAGAGACGAAGACATCCGCTGGAAGTAGCCGATGAATGCTTGAGAAGAGAAATGGTCGGATGATGTGCGCGATGGTCTGATTGTTGAACATGTAGTCGGAAGCCACGTGGTCCGCCCCGACCAGCTTCAACTCCAGCGCCGGCACCGGGCCGAAATGCTGAGCACATGACCGGCCAGCAGTTCGCGCAAGTCACTGACGAGATCATCTGCCAGCACGATGGCCTCCTGCTCGTCCTTGGCACGGTTCATCTTGTCGCACAAGTCAGGGATGTTGTATGTGGACTGGAAGTCCGTGATGATCGTCCAGTCATCACCTGACCGACCACCACACAGACATACCCACAAGATGAATGAATGGATGGATGATCTGTGTGCCCCTGCCCGCCCCTGCTTACCCAGGTAGTCCATTGCCACAACGGACACGTGCTTCGCTGGGCGTCCATCCGGCCTCAGCACGCCTTGTTTGGCTCCATCGAAATAGGGCCGCACAAACGGCGTGTCCAGCCACTTGCGCTCCTCGTTGCCGACCGATGCCGCCACATGCCGGAGCCGCGAGGCCTCCTGTCGCGCTTCAAACTCTCTCTCGCACAGCTTGAAGTCGGGGCGCCCAGACGCTTCTCGACTTCCTGCCACACGGACAAATCACATGGATGGTGAGCACGAGGCGAGTGTGAGGCTGCTTACCTCCGGGAACTTGACGGCCAGCAGCTTGGCGCTCCTCTTGGCCGCCTTGTCGTCTCGTCTGAATTATTCCACCCATGAATTGGCCGACCCAGAAACAGGCAAAGAAACAGGCAAAGAAACAGTCCAGCCGCAACTCCAGCGCCCGCATCCGTGCCCGAATGCTGAGGAGGTGACCCGCCAGACGAATTTTGCGGAGGATTTTGCGGAAAAAAAGCTCTCCGTCGTCTCCCGTCGAGAATTCTCGCTGATGCAATCGTCATGCCTCCGTGAGGACGCCCCGCCATCAACGATTTAGGCTTTCGTGAAACCGCTTTCCCCAAGCTTGCAAAAGGAGGGGAGCAAATGGGGAAACAGCGTCAGAAGGAGAGGCTACAGGGAAAGGGCGACGACGAGCCCAAAGACCACCGTGGTTGGATAGCGCGAGAGAGGCCCCAGCGTGCGTGCCGACAGAAGCCACCTGGGCATCACTCGAGCGGGGGCGACAGTAACCCGGGCGAGAGGGGCGGCAGAGGTGGGCATGGCAATGGGAATGGCAAGTTGCTGCCATCACGCAAGAGAAGGCGATCGCCTCGAGCCCCCACGGCACAGAAGCCGTCCGGCAAGCGGCAAGGCAGCCCGCCGCGAGAGCCCATTTCGTGCCAGCATGACGACCTCCTTAACTTCATGGCCGACTTCGATAGGCAGGGCATCAATGTGCCGCCGCTGGTGCGGGGGGATGGTGGGAATGGCGGTGTCAACGCACACTTTATCGTTGTGGGTGCGGGAGTTGCTGGTCTGACGGCTGCAGCTATGCTCAAGAGGAGGGGGTATCGGGTGATCGTCTTGGGAGGGAAGGGACAGGTGAGAAACGGATGAACGATTGACGACTTGTCCGTCCAGACAGACATACCAGCGACTTGATGGATGTTTGTATGTTTGAATGTTTGTATGTATGTATGTGCCTCCCTTCCTTCCTTGTTGTGTTGTTCCTTCCTTCCTTCAGGGTTGGCGGCCGCATCCACACCAAGACACTTCCTGCCAAAGACAGCCTGCCTGAGACCAAGGTGAGTGAGCCGCAACGCAACACAACAGGCTTTCCGACTCCCTTTGTTCCGCCCGCCTCATCTACATGCAGTACACGCACCGCACCGCACCCATCTGTCTCTGTCTGTGTGTGTGGTGTGGTGCACTCACTGCAGGTGGATCTCGGCGCCAACTGGCTGCACGTTGCACCAGGAGATCCGCACTATCCCTGGGATTTGGCGGCGGCACTTGGAATCGAAACTTCTGCTGTGATGGGTGAGCGAGACAGCGACGCAGCGGTTGTTCGTCGTTTCGCCACCACCAACCACCACCACTAACTAGACCATCTCTCTCCCCTCCCTGTCATGCAGGCGGCAAGTGGGAGCCGACCGAGTTTGCGAACTGGTATGACGAGCAAGGACGGCAGATACCGCAGGCCATCATCATCAAGTAAGCACAGATACCCCTCGTGCACCTTCTGTCAGCCCTCCATGCTCTCCTTCATGAACGCACCTGTGGTGCTGCAGGGCCCACCTTCTCACTGAGCGGGCGATGGCACACATGGTGGCCCAGAAGCACAAGGAGGACCAAGCCACTACATCGCCAGGACCCTTCCCAGGCCAGCTGGCTGCCCTTCCCCCATTTCCCCCATCCGGCAGCAGCTCCTTCCAAGACTGGTTCGGCATTGCCCTCAACCACGCCCTCAACGAGGAGGCACAGGCGCGGGGGGAGCGGCGACGGGCCGACGAGAGGAATCGCAACAGGCGCAAGACCAGCCGCGCCCGTGAGCAGGCTGCATCGCTGGCGGCCGATCAGGCGGAGAGGGACGAGAGGGAGCTCGAGATGATTCGGCAGATGGGCACCAAGACCGCTCGCGTACGGATCGGCATCTTGGCGAGATCGATGCCCTTCTCAACTGCAGATAATGGCGATTATAGTGCATGTGGGTGACAGGTTAACAGGCGGGGATCGCTTTCTCACCCATGTAGTTGACGTATTTTCTCCATCCCTTGACTTCATGCGGCTTGACAGTCCTGATGACGGGGTTGGACGGCGAGGGGCATGACTGGAGGCAGCAGTAGGCCTCTGACGGCTTGGCAGCGTTGGCATAGTAGTTGATGGCGTTGCACAGCTCCGTCTCCTCGATGGCCTCGCACTCCATTTTGCACAGCTCAACTGACCCAACTCCCGTCTTGCAGGCCCCACCAACCGCCAGGCACCCCAGCACCCAGGTCTCGCCCATCCCAATCTCATGCCAGTCCCCTGAAGTGGCTGCATAGTGTCAAGCACGCATTGAGACATGCAGAAGAGACCTTTCAGGGATGTTCCTTGGGCTGGACTGGACTGACCGAAGCAGACGAATTCCTCCTTGTCTGTGTTGATTCTTTCGAGGAAGTGGGGGAGCTTGGTGGCCGAGATCTCCGCCAGAAGGGGACTGTCGCGGTCGCACGAGTAGGTCGGGGCGGCTGTCGAGCTGTCCTCACCCGCCTTGGTGTCCTTGATGCGGCAGCAACCGTGCATACCGGGGTGAGCTCCGACTGCACCCATGAAGCAGCGAGATGAGCAGAGCGGGAAGATTTGTGTCTCATGGCTGTTCCAACCTTTCCTCTTGGTCACGAACGAGGTCCCGGGTTCAGCAATGATCTTGTAGACCTCCTCCATGTCCTTGCCGCCCCTTGTGCCGCGGATGAACCGCCCTATCCACTCCTTGGGCACGAGAGGCGGCCCCTCTGGCAGACCCTCTAGCTGCTGAGCCTTCACTTGCTTCACCTTCTTGCAAGGATTGCCTGCACGCATAAGTACATCACCGCAGCAGTCACTGAGTGCGTGAGTCGCCTGTCTGTGTGGCCTTGCTTGCCATAGATGGTGTCTCCGCATTTGGAGAAGGTCGCCCGCTTGAAGACGCAAAGTGCCGTTGTGTTGTCCAGCGGGTATCTCATGTCGCCTTCGCAACTGCTGAGGGCATCCCGCCCCAAGACCTCAGCGAACTCATCTTCCGGCAAAGCGTCTAAGAAGTATATTGTGTCGTTGTAATCGTGCCGCTGGAACCGATTTCTCAGCACTGTACAACGAGAGGCAGAGAGACACGTCGATGGCATGACGGGGAGTCAGTCTGCTGTATCTTGCTCACTTGGGATCTTCAGATAGATGGGCTTGTCAGTGCATCCGACAAGTATCTCCTTGTTGAACACTTTGAGATTGGCGATGGTCATGACAGCCTTGTCGCTATCCGAAAGCTCCGCCTCGACCGCCTCCGTGTCAGTCTCAGACTCGCTGCTCGGAGGAGCAACTGTTGGTTCAGGTGTGGTCTCGGATGCAGTGAGCTCAGGTGAGCGGGTTTTCCTCGGCGGGGGGTTGGATATGATGAACGACTCGATCGATCCCTCACCCAGCCCGTCATCCTCCTCTTCCTCCCTCGCCCCCTCCTCCCTCTCCGCCACCCGTTTCGTCAGCTCGCCAAAGGCCCCCTCCCCTCCTACCGTGCTGATGAAACTGCTGAGAACCTCCTCTGTGACGGGCTGCAGGCGATGGAACAGCATCTTGGGCTCGTCAGGAGAGTCGTTGAGGACTTGGCCGCCAAATGCGCGGCTGTAACAAGGGTCGCCGAAGGGGTTTTTGCAGCACTCGGGCCGCGTGAGGCGGAGACGGTAGCCGTTGAGGAGGTCAGGGGAGATGAGGACGAGGAACCACTCGTAGTGGTTGTCTGCGGGCTTGTCGTCGCCTTTGTATTCGGGATTGTCGATGAATTTGCCATGCCAGTTCTGACAGAAGAGCTCTCCCTCGCGAGTGGCCGCCATAGAAGAGAACAGACCGGGCCTGACATAGCATGTATACACGAACTTTGCCTCTCCTGCTGTCGGCTTGTCACGTGTGCTGCAAAGCACCTGAGTCTCTGTATGCCGCACAGTTCCTCACTGCTTTCTCTGAGCGCAGCGCACACGTCACCTCTCTGCGTTTTGCACTTGTGCACTCGACTGCACGCTGGCACCAGAAGCTTTGTGTACAGACCGGCGTTGTCCCGACGGACTGATCCCAAGGGAGAGAAACACACCGACACATGCACGGATGCACACGTGTGTATCTGTAGGAAAATGTCCAGCGGTCATACTCACCCAGGCACATGTATCTGTCGTCCCAGGATGTGTCTTGTGCGCCGCTGGGCTGCCACGGCAGGCATGTCTCGCGGTCCTTCAAACTCGGAGATGCGTTATCCACAAATGAGAGGTCGGACGACTGAGGCCAGGCTCTGCTGACACAGACGTATCCCTTCTCGGGTGGGTCGACGATGTTGTACACTTCGATGCAGGTCTTGTCTGGGACAATCCTCTTCTCCCAGGTGATTCCAATGTCCGCACGACCGCTCCGGACGCACAGGGCCGCTTGCTTGACGTTGAGCACCTTCGTGCATTGGTACTGGTCGGGATTCATCTCGTCAGTTCTCTGGGCGAAGGCAAAATCATCAGGGAAGCGCGGCCATGGCCTTTGAAGACCCTCTTTGTCTGAGTGGATAGACGAATGGCACGACAGACAAGTTGCACAGCAACGTCTGTCCAACACAATCGGTGGGTGGGCGATGGTGTCTTACTGGTCGCCCCGGCTCGATAGGTCAAGTAGATGTCATCGTCAAGATCCTCCCTGGTGAAGTACTTGTCCGCGGCCTCGCTTCTCGCGTCCCGAACCAGCGTCCCTGAGAGCGTTCGAACCGGTCTAGGAATGCCAACCACATAGTTGCTGCCGCCTCCAGCCCCCTGGTGAGGAACTTGCCCGAGTACAAGGTGCATGAGCCTGTCTTCTTTGAGAACTCCCAAATCTCGCACTCCGACCTCTTGATGCACTTGTCACAACAGGACGCTGCACCTGGGTTGTCGTCCAGCGGATTGTCGGCATGCCCCACACTCTGCTCGATAGCTCCCACAGGGCGTCGACTGTCGTCCTGCGACTCGCTGGAGGGAGAGGGTGGTGGCGCTTCGGCCTCGATCAGGCCATCAGGAGGGTCCTTCTGCAGCCTTCTTGGCCGTCTGTCTTTGCGGACGCGTCACTTGAGTTGGATAAAGGCGGGTGGAGCTGGGAAGTCGTGGGGAAGGGGATGGGCTTCCATGTGTGTTTGCAGTAGGACGGATGCCAGGGGGGTGGGATTGCCGACTAATTTGCTATTCGGGTACGCTGTGCAGTCTGAAAACAAGGATACATGCATCGCATCGCCTTGCAGTGTGGGCTTCATCGCCCTCACTTCCTCACCGTGGCAGTCGCTGTATTGCTGTGTTCCTGTCCAGACAATGGCTTTCGTTGCCAAGACACCAGCGCCGGCAAAGGCCGCTGCTAGACGACGCACCCAACGTCTCCCGTGGACGTGTTGTGGCATTCTCGGCCTCCTGCTATGTCCATGGGGGAGAGCGGTGCACTCGTGTCATCAACCCATATAGACGGTGCACCTGTACCAAGCAGTGAGAACATACAGGCACGGATGGATATATACAGGCGCTGCAATGCATACCTGTGAAGGCGTGCCTCTCGGCGCAGCGCCGGGCACGATGTGGCCCAAGCGCTGGTGGCCCCTGCGGGGTGGGGAGAGAAGGGAGAGAGTCTATGGGAGAGACTGGGGCCTGAGCAGGACGTGCTGATCCGCGCCTTTTCAACAAGCAGAGAGAGAAGGAAACGCAGGGGAAGTGGGGGTCGCGGGAAAGAGAGAGAGTTGAGAGATTTGAGATTTGCGCGGATTCGGCTCTCTGATGCTTTAGGGTCGAGTAAAACAAGCCTTGGAGAGCGGAAGACAACACACCACCACAAAAACCTCCAACCTCCGCGCATGAGATCCACTGTACCATCTCCGAAGCATCACTAAGGCCAATCGCGCCTTTGATCTCTCGACGGACACCTCGGCATCTGGCGGCGAGGGGTGGAGGCACGTGTGAAGGCATGTTGAACAAGGTGAGAATGTTTCTGAGGAGGTGGCCCTTTATCGTGCCCCTCTCGTGGCTGGCCGTGTGCGGCATCATCGCCCTCATCGGCATCGGACACGGCCATCTCAAGGAAGGCAGATCCTACTTCGGTAGGCGAGGCGAGCGAAAGACCCAGATAGATGTGCATAGGTACGCCTCCACTGTGTGTCCCAGGTGCATTGGATGCGGGATTCCAGGACCTCTTCACGCGCCCTGAGGAAGATCTGGATTGGCAGTTCGCTAGGAAGCACCACACCGCCCGCTTCAACCTCGCGGCGACTCTGCAGCAGGCCAACGACCCGGTGGCCGACCCGCCTTTGGCCCGCACAGAGGGTGATGTGGAGAGATCCCTCACCTTCATGTTCTCGGTCGACGGCCTCAATGAGACTGCGAGTGGTGGTGATGGCGAGGAGACGTCGCGGCCGTCGGTGCTGACGCCGGAGCGGCTGCAGATCATGTGTGAGGTGGAGAAGGTGGTGGTCAAACACCCGCTCTACCGGGGGGTCTGCCAGAGGGACGCTGAGACCAATGAGTGCCTGCCGCAAGGTAAGACACACACCGGACCGGACAGGCACTCTCACAGGCGCGTCACTCACGAGATTGTCTTGTGCTTGTTGTGCGAGCAGAGGGCTCGGTGGTTAATCTTTTTTACGCTGATGCGGCGAAAATAATACAGGGGAATTTCAGTCACGACTGGAGCTGCCCGCTGCTGGAGGCCAAGAGCATCCAGAGCCGCCTCTTTCTGGGCCTGAGGCTCAGACCGAAAGATCTCGAGTTCTTCCTCGGAACGGACTTCAAGTGAGAGAGGACCAACCAGCCCACACACATCACATGGGCCATCCGTCCACCCCACCCATTGCACATCACATCTCTCTCTCCGTGTTGTGTGTGTCGTTGTGTCAATCAGCGAGTCGTCTTATTCCACCAATCGTACCCGTTCGTTCATCCAGTTGGGTATGCCGCAGGAAGATCACTCGAAGGAGGTGGCCTTCTGGTCGGCACTCGGGGACGATCTTCACAAGTATCTGTCCGTCCAGCGGGACAGGTCTAACCCCTTCTCGGGCGTGTCGCCATACGCAGTTAGCGGGGAGGACGGCTGGGAGGCCGGCGAGGGCATGAGAATCCACATTTGGAGCAAACCCATGTGGCAAATCGAAAGGTGAGCTGAGAAAAAAAGGTGTGTTGTCGTGAATGCGTGTGTCTGATGTGTGTATGTGAATGGCTGCATTGCAGGGATTTTCTTATGTCTAACGGTGGCCCGGCGCGTGCCACAATCCTCTCAGCGCTGGCTCTCATTCTCGCCGCTGCATATACACGATCGCTCATTATCGGCTTCACATGTAAGCACACGCGCCGGCACCTCACGAGCGGCCAAACATGTGTTTCTCTCCCCTCCCCCTGGCTGTATGTCTGTCGGATCCGATCAGGTGCGGTGATGGCTCTCTTGTCGTTTGGTGTGAGCCGTTTCCTGCTCATCCTGGTGTGCCAAGTTACCTACTTCGGCGCCCCCTGCCGCGCGTCGTTCCTCTTTTCCCTCACACTCGCCCTCGCGACTCTCCTGATCACCGCACGGCCCACACACCAAAAGCCGCCCTTCCGGCGCCTGCTGCCCTTGATCGGTATGTGCTTTTCGGGCTCGATCGGCATCGCGACGTCGCAGCAGTTCCCCTTCCAGGCCATCGGTGTGTTCGGCATGCTGGTGCTGGCCTTCACCATGGCCTCGTTCTGGCTTATCCTCCCGCACATCTTCCTGTGTGTGGAGCAGTATGAGCGGCCCGTCAGCAGTAAGGTTGCGGAGAGGTGCGCGAGGCTCTGGCGGCGGTCTTCTGTCGAGCAGGGGGATATGGACGGCACCAAGGCCGAGGAACCTCCTTCCTCATCTTCTGAAGAGCGGGAGCCGGTGGTGGGCTTTGGCCAAATACCCCCTATCGTCGAGGAGGCTCCCGGGGAGGAGGACGAGGCGGCTGCAGGAGCTGGTGGTAGTGGTGGTGGTGGTGACTCCAACCGCAACAGCAATGCCGAGCAGGCAGACAGCCCCAAGGAGCCCTCGGACCCCTCGACCGACTCGCCCCCCTCCAGCCCATCCGACCTCCCCAGCAAGATACAAAAGATGCAGTCCGACCCCGGCAGCCGCTCGTCGAGCAGCGCGTCCACCGCCCTAACCTTCGGCCGCAAAGCCACCATACGCGAGCAGGACAGCCGAACCATCGTCATGAGTACTGCGGGGGACAGCCCTTGTGCGGGCGAGAGGGGCCTGTGGGGGAGAGTGTCGAGATGGCTGAAGGGGAGAGGGGGCAAGGCTCTCAGCGGCGGAGCCATCGTCGCGGGCCTGGTGGTTGTGGGGCTGTCTCTGGGGCTGGTCAAATGGAGGGTCACTGACGGGAGTGTATCGGAACAGCTGTTCGCGGACAACCACATGTTCTCAGGTAGGCACCTGGGCGGACAGCACAGCACAGAGAGAGAGGCCTGCCTGGGTCCTCCATGCACGCGTGCTTTCCTTCTCCTTGTCTGCGTTGCGTGCGTGACAATCAGAGTCGTTCGAGCACTTTGCGGGGTGGTTCAAGGGCAACGCGGGCCCGACGTACCTGCCTGTGGAGCTGTACTGGAGGCTGCCCACACACACGGCGAGTGGGAGTGAGGACAAGGCCGTCAAGAGGGACTGGGAGGCCGTGTGTGCCGACTTCCCTCCCACCGACCTACCCACCACTCTGCGGCAGATGGAGGAAGTCTGCAAAACCATCGAGGAGCCCCTGAAGTGCCACGACGACCTCCTGCCCTCATGCACGTAAGCCAAAGGCCGACAAGTCTAACTTTCGTGTTGATGAATGTGCGTGATATCGCCATTCTTGTTTTGTCTGCAGGCATCCGATTGTGGCTGAGAATCAGTCGTTTGTGGTGCCCGACACCCTGATCTGCCCCCACCGGTCCCTCCCGGGATTCGACCCAGACGACGTCACCTGGGCCGACAACGTCACCACGGCCGAGCTCCTTGAGCTGAAGGAGACGATGCCCAACAGCGTCATCACCATCAACGGGGAGCCGACGTTCCTCGCCGTGCGGTTCTACACGACCGTGCTGCGCTTCGCCACCTACCCCGAGATGGTGCCTCTGGCCAAGTATCTCGAGAGATGGGAGGGAGAGCTGCGCGACCAGGGGCAGCAGGTGGCCGTCACTGGCGGCGAGGCGCTCGAGTACGTCAACTACGAGACGCTCAAGTACTTCCCGTGGGAGATCATCTTCATGTTCCTTATCGGCATGTGCATCCTGCTGGTCTTGCTCACCCTCACCCTGCAAAACTACATGCTCGGCCCCATGGCGGTGAGTTAGCACAACACGCACACCAACACAACACAGCTCATCCGTTGAACGAGTGAATGATTAATGCATCCCCCCTGTCTGTCTGTCTGTCTGCCTGTGCAGCTGTTTTCGATGGCGTGTGCAATGGTGGTCATGCAGGGCATCGCGTCGATGGCGTGCTATGGGCGCATCGGGGCCTACGAGGGGGTCAACCTGGCGCTCTCCGTCACACACTTATGCGTACCAACGTAAGAAACCGAACCGCACACACAAGAGACACACCCAGCCAGGCGTCAATGTCCTCCCTCCTGTTGTTTGTGTCCTTGGCCTCAGGTTACTCCTGGCGATATTCTATGCTGTGGCGTCCTGGTGAGCACCGATGGGATCACATGCACACACACACACACACACAGAGAGAGAGAGGGTGGGGTGCTTGCTTCTAGCTGACGTCAGTCACTGTGTGTGTTGCCACTTTGTGTGATGTGTTGTGTGTTAACTGCAGGGAGGGTATATCTGATCGTGTAGGTCGTGTGAAGGCTGCGCTGAGAGGGGGCGCACCGGCGGCGGCCGTGTACTCTGTCTATGTCGTGATGGCGGGGTCACTCTTCTCGGTCACCGAGTCTGTGCCGCTCATGAAGGTACACACACACACAGAGAGAGAGAGAGAGGGGCAGGGTGAATGTTGTGTGCTTGTTCGTGTGGTTTGTGTGGTTCAGTTTGGTTTGCTGGCACTGATTGCTGCCGCCACGGGCCTGGTGATGGCGTTCCTCATATTCTTGCCGGTATGCAGACACACACACACACATCCACACACACACACATGATGGTCTCTCTCTCTCTCTCTGTGTGTGTGTGTGTGTGTGTGCAGCTGTGTGTGCTGGTTGGTCCGAGAGGTCAGGAGTACGATGTCCGGCCCTGCTGGCCGTCCAGCAACATCAAGCCGCTGACCACAGAATGCGAAAGCACCTTGCCGTGATGACATGACATTACACTACACGTGGGAACACACCCCGGGTGTCTCTTGGTTGGCTGGTCGGCTGGGTGCCAGTGCGTGAGTGGTCTTTACTTCCTTATTAATTACTTTATTACCTACCTTCCTTGAACGCCGTAGGCTGATAGGGTAGGCTTGTAGCTAGCTAGGCCCGCAGGTGCACGTTCAGTGGACCAATGCTGAGCGGAGAGGGAGGGGGGGAAGGGTGCGTTTCTCTGTCTTTCTGCTGTTTTCTGTATCATGGCTGGCATGACCGTTCCTTGTGTGTGTGTGTGTGTATACGTGTCGACACACATTGCGTACGACGGGAGGGGGAGGGGGTGGGC